GCAGAAAAACCCGATTATCAAAATACAGGTTTCTTGAAATTCCTGATGAAATAGAAATGCTGGTTACGAGGTCGTCTACTTAAACTTACCTGAGGTCCAAGTTACCGTTCTAGAGTTAGGTTAGTATAGTCCATGGCGTAAAGCGCCGCGCACACCTTCAATCTACATGCGGAACAACTTACTCCCAGCTGCCGCGAGAATCAAATTCAACTAAATTTTTCCACTTTGCACTTCTACAAATTTCCTTCACTGCCTTTCCTATTTCCTCACCCCCAAAACCCCTATAACCCCCGTTTCTAAAGGACAAAGTACTGAGAATTGGAGTATATGAGGTGAACTACTTAAAATACCCTTGCCGGAACCTCGTCGCCTTTTAGCCATCCAAAGTGCTACCTCCCCCTTCAGCAAGGTTACATTTACGGTGGTTAAACTGCTAAGAACTAGAACCTGACGGATTTTCATCTGAACTGACGAAGGGTGTGTGTGCCGAGAAAGGAAGAAGTTTCATGAGGTGTTGTAGTGGATAAAGCAAGCTGCAATAAGCAGTCATGCAGACGTTTGATTTTAGAAAATAAGGCGTTTTCAGGATATAAAAGACGGAGATGCGATCGCTGGGATGAGATGTTTATGGAACCGCCATTTCGGATACTCACTATAATCTTCGTCCGGTGATCATAGAAGACCCTATGCCTGAGTAGTTTGGGATTTGGACATGGATGCTTTCGTCAGCGGCTGTTTTTTCGCCGAAGACAGCACCTCAGAGATCTTTACAGACTATGTCCCTCGTTCGATTCTTTTTATCGCCACAATGAAACTGTAAGCAGCTTGCCCTAACCTGACAACATTCAGAACAATGGATTGTATGCTGCAAAACTAAGGACAAAAAGTAGCCGTGTGTCGCCTTACCTGTATTCGTTTACAGCAAATGAGATGCTCGAAGGCAAACCGGATGCCGTTGGACAAATCGACAGTAAGGGAAAACTGTAAAGTCATTAGGAGACTATAAAGCGTGATAATGCGTTCACTGATCATCAGTTTTGGATCATCTGGGAAGAGGAAGATCAGAGCGATGAGGATGACGAGCATGGCCAATTTCTGAAGAAACACCATCTGACCATTTTGAAAGCCCATCCACAGTTTTGAGCGCAAAATACCGTTGCATTCGCGGCTACCGAGAAAAAAAAGGAATAATAAGAACAAACTTTTACTGGCAGAGAGATAAGTAGCATTCGAGATGCAGAAATAATAAAAAGGTTGCAGAGGAAATTACGTAAACATTTAGTCGGCCATAAGGCCATAGGTAACCCGAAGTACAAGAACAAGTGCACAAGTTTCTTGGTTTCGATTGCAGAAAGAAAAAAACAGCGGTTCAAGGAAGAGGTCCATGCTACACCTGCAACTGGAAGAAGTATCGCCAAAGAAGAGGACGCATGAGACGAAGTCGTCAGGTGGGCATATCCATTTCCAGGTTTGAATGACCCGGGATTAAACCTCGGATCACATGGTCAATGAGTGACTTTTAAGTTTAACCACGCACCTTTAAGCCCTAAAACACTTTTGCGCGCAAAAACCGTCTCAGTTGCGGATACGGAGACACTGTACTACCAAAACTTAGCGCCATGATCAAGGCCTACTAAGGCTCCATCACTTTGCAGGTTCTGATACATAACCAGCTTTCAGAACCATTCGCTATTCGGTCTGTCATTCGATAAGGATGCATCCTGTCACCCATTCTATTTAAATACGCAGTGGACTGGATTCTCAGGAACGCCCTACCCGAAGAGGACAGTGGTGAGCTTGTATCCGGACGCCGGTTGACTAATCTCGACAAAGCCGATGATATCACCCTGCTAACCTCAAGCTTTGCTGATCTACTGTCTACGGTGTCACGGGTAAACGAGGTCACTAAATCAGTCGGTTTATCCATAACCATTGGGAAGACCGAAGTGTTTTCCTGCTGCATGAATGCCGAAGATAAGGCACCTCTCGAGATAAATGGTTTTTAAATTGACGAACTAGACAGTTTCCAATACCTCGGAACGAGGCTACTTCCGAATGGGCAGTAAGGATGACATTGTCTCCTAAATTGATGCAGCTAGTAGAGTTTTTTTCAAGCCTTATAGAGTGCATAAGGATCAGATGGGATATTTATACTGTCACGAAGGTTCGCGTGTACCTTGCATCCGCGCAGTCTGTCCTTCTCTCTGGCTGTGAATATTGGGCTATGTGCTACGAAGGTGAAAGGAAAATGGGGGTATCCGACTGCTACTGCTTTAGGACTATGCTTCATGTGAAGTACATTGAAGCCGTTTCAAATAAGACAGTCCGCACTCGCTACGACAAAATCACAAGGATATCTCAAGCCGTTCAAAAAATACGACTGAGGTGGTTTGGACACGTTCTTTGTCGTCAACCTCACGAGCTGAGTGTTACTGCCCTCGAACCGAAACCGTTACCCAATTGGAGACGTCGAAGAGGGTGTCAGCTCAAAACCTGGCGCGACTCAGTGCATCAGGGCATGGAAGAGGTTTTTGAACATTCGGTAGTCGGTCTCGGGCAATGACAAAGTGAATGAACTGGACTGGCCAGGTCTGCTGCCACGGATCGTCACGCATGGAGAAGTATCATTGGGAACATCAGCGAGGCGGGCTAGATCAGTC